GGGCGTGAGGCGGGGGCTGCCCCGCGAGGGAAAGGTGTGGTGCCGGTGGGAGCTGGGGAAATGCCCAAGGTAGGCGGAGACACGGGGTGGTTGAGACCATGGTTTCTGCAGCCTCACTGTGTTAGCGGGCCCTTCTGAAATGATGCAAGTACAAAGGGTTTGAAAATCTGAAGAACAGCTCCCAAGGGCAAGGGTCTTTGAGTGACGTTCCAGTTGCCCTGAAAAGAGGCGGAGAGAAAGTAGACCTCAAGTCTAGTCTTGACGGCTTGCCGCTTGTTTTCTCTTGCCCCTGAGCCTTTGCGCGGGCCTCGCCTTCAACTTGGAATAACTCCCAGCACCTCTTCCTCCCACCCCAGCCCCTGCCAAGTCCTCCTCTTGCAGCTGTATTCTTTGATCGATTTTGTTATAGGCAGCGGCACTGGGTGTTAGACCCACGGGGTCGGGTCAAACCAAAACCAGGGTGCAACAACCTCGGGACTTGGGTTCTGGCTAGGAAAGAATCCAGGGCAAGACCCAAACTGTAAGAACATGTATTTGGCAAATCACAGAGGTAGGGGAAGCAATTCCTGGGAGAAATGGGCTTAGGAAACAAGTTATGGAGGGAAAGGAAGGGCCCTTGCAGCGTGGGCGTGAGGAAGCTGAAGGGAAGGGAAAGGCTCCGCAGCTCCTGCAGGGAGAGCAGCCGGGTCCTTCCCGAGGGTTTGAAGGGTGGAGAGTTGAGGGGCGGTCCGGTCCCGGGAGAAGATCTCAATAGGAGAGTCAGCGGCATTCCCGGTGTGTCCTCTCGGGGTTGTGGACTCCACTGATCCGTTGGTGGCACCAGGATAGGGGGTCATTCTATGCAGCTGGTCCCATCAGCCTGGGCTGGTTTTGTAGCTGATCTGGGCCTGGAGCTGAAATACAACAAGCATAGATGTTATCTATAGGGAGGAAAGGTCAGGGGTCCAAACCATGTAACCAACATGCTAGGCCGCTATGGTCCGCAAACTGTGGCTCGCGAGCCACATGGTGGCTCTTTGGCCCCTTGAGTGTGGCTCTTCCTAAGCCTTAGGAGTACCCTAATTAAGTTAATAACAATGTACCTACCTATATAGTTTAAAAAATTGGGCTCTCAAATATCAATCCTTGTACTGTTGATATTTGGCTCTGTTGACTAATGAATTTGCTGACCACTGTGCCAGGGGAAGAAAAGGCACCCTGGGCGAGGTCCCACCCTACAGTTGATTGTCCCTTGCTACCACCTAAGGCTTTCCACCCTAGTGACCTTCAGTACCTGGCCCATCATCCTTGCTCTGCTCATGTTTGTCTAACCACCTACCACAATTTTAGAGAGAGATTGGGGGTGAGAGAGAGAGAGAAACGTGGATTTGTTCCACTTATTTATGCATTCATTGGTTGATTTTTGTATGTGCCCTGACCAGGATTGAACCATAACCTTGGCTATGGGACCACACTCTAACCAACGGAGCTACCCTACTGGGGCTCAGTATTTGTTTAAATGTCACTTAGTATGGAAAACCTTCTCTACACTTTCCAAGCTAGGTTAAATTTGGCTTTCTTATGTTTTTTGTTTTGTTTTGTCTTTATGACACACTGGAGCAGTGGTTCTCAACCTTCTGGCCCTTTAATACAGTTCCTCATGTTGTGACCCAACCATAAAATTATTTTCATTGCTACTTCATAACTGTAATGTTGCTACTGTTATGAATCGAAATGTAAATATCTGATATGCAGGATGGTCTTAGGCGACCCCTGTGAAAGGGCCATTCGACCGCCAAAGATTACGACCCACAGGTTGAGAACCGCTGCACTAGAGGCCAGGTGCATGAAATTTGTGCAGGGGGTGGGGTGGAGGGGAGCCCCCTCAGCCCGGCCTGCACCCTCTTGCAGTCTGGGAGCCCTTGGGGAATATCCAACTGACACGGAGTGGGCCTAAGTTGGACATCCTTAGGGCGGCCTCGGAGGTGAGAGAGGCTCCTGCCACCACTGCTGCGCTCGCCAGCCATGAGCCCGGCTTCTGGCTGAGCGGCATTCTCCCTGTGGGAGCGCACTGACCACCAGAAGGCAGCTCCTGAGTTGAGCATCTGCCCGCTGGTGATCAGTGTGTGTCATAGCAACCTGTCGTTCTGTCCTTTGGTCAATTTGCATATTAGCCTTTTATTACGTAGGATTCATTCTGTTTAAATTACCTGCCTGTTTGTCCTGACCTCCCTCTGGGTTGTGGATTCCTGAGGACATGACTACATCTTGATTATCTCAGGGGCTATCAAATGAGGAATGAATGTGGTATAAAACTGAAGGTCAGGTGACATACTATAATAAAAGCACTAAATAACCATAAAATACTTTGCAAACTATAAACCTTTATAAATTCACACTTTCTAGTAATATTAAGAGGCCTTGGACTAATTTTGATATAAAATGTTGGTTATAGCAAAATCGTTACGTTTCAGTACTGGTTAAAAGTCTATCAGAAAGTTACCCATCTATTTTTGCTTTGATAACAGTGCCTTCCAAAGACTAGGCAGGCACTCAAATATTTGCTGAACTGTTTGAGTATTTTAGGATTATAATCCTGGGTGTCTGTGTTCCCTACATACTAAGAATGTAGACAAGGTAGAAGGATGATACATGTCATTGCCTGAAAGTTTTCTTTGTGGGGAGTAAGGAATTTCAGTGAGTTAGATGATAGCAAAACATAAATTTATCCAAGGTTCCTGATTATCATGTTACTGACATCTGCCTTCCTAGAACATTATAGACCTCCCTCAGATATTACTATCTCTTCTCTTCCATTCCCCATTTAGATGTCAGAGGGAGGCAAAAGATTAAGTCTACTCCCTGAGAAATTGTAATTTGTAATTTTTTCCTTGTCCTCCCCAGATATTTTAAAAAAGAAAATAGGACTACCTGAGTACAGTCTGTAATGATGCAGGGAAGGAAACTGGCCCATTATCATTATGTAGTACCATACACCAAAGGTCAAAGGAGCCCATATCTTCAGGATGCTGATACCGGAGATGAATTGGCCTGGCCTTTCATTAGTTAGGCTTAGTACTGCTGCATATCACTTATTCAGTAAGTGAATATTACAGTGATGTTCAACATGTGTCCATCGACTACCAACATAAAAAGAATAACTGGGCCCTAGCTGGTTTGGCCCATGGACTGAAAGGTCCCAGGTTCAATTCTGGTCAAGGGCATGCACCTCAGTTTCAGGCTCCATCCCCAGCCCTGGTTGGGGCGTGTGTGGGAGGCAACCAATCGATGTGTCTCTTACATCAGTGTTTCTCTGTGTCTCTCCCCCTCCCTTCCACTCTCTCTAAAAGTCAATGGAAGAATATCCTCAGGTGAGGATTAACTACAACAGAAAAGAATCGCTGGTGCTACTAAAATGAAGATTTCTAGGTTTCACTCTACTCCCACTGAACCCACGTATCTCAGGAATCTCCAAAGACTGCGTTTGGAATAAATTTCCAATGTGATTCTTGTGTACACTAAATGTTGAGAATCACTGACAATTTATTAAGTATCTTCTGTGTTATTATACTCAATCCACTCTAATTCTCTTGCCCTGTACTCCTGAAATATGAGATTTAGTCTGTGCCCTTGACTAAGTTTAATGTTGCTAACGTGGAGGTTGGTATAAATTGTGAAGGGCCATGGACTTTTAATATCTATTCATTGGCTAACCTGGAGTCTCATAATGCTTGTGTGACAAAAAGACTTAATAAATGTTTTTATTTAAAATTTTCATGGAGATCTGAGAGTCATACCCAGAACACAACATTCAGAAAGGAACCTTTCTGAGGATCTAGTTCTTTGTTTTATTTTGTTTTCCCACTCGTTTCTGTTAAGATGCTATTGGCCAAATCCTCGCGGTCCCTTGACATTGACAGCCATCTCTTCGTACATCACACTTGGGACACAGGAACCTTCCAGCCTAGAGCCCAGTGCCATGGGTCCTGGCTCACTGTGTGCCACACAGCAGTTTCCAGTCAAGTCCCTGCTTCGCCCTGGGTACTACTAAGAAGCCGGACATGTTACTTATATCATCTGGAGCCGTGATCCACTGTCTCTTCCTAGCCTGGAACACTGCCCCTCTTTCTGGAGTTCTCTCTCACTGTTCTCCAAGGCAATCCCTGCTCTCTCCCATCTCTCCAGGAAACTCAACATAAGCTCCAAAACGAGCGCAGGCTTTCAATCTCTTTCATAGGATAGAGATTGTTGTCAAGAAGTAGCTACTGTTTTCTTCCAGCTCTGATAAAGCTAGAGCAAGGAGAACTGCAAAGGGCCTGGCTACCTTTGGGAAAACTATAGAACAAAAATATTTCAGTAAGTTATCCTTCTGTAGTATGTCCTGAAGCAAGTCAACCTTTCTCAACCTTATTTTTCTCATCTGTAAAATTGGAGATGATTATTGTCCTAACAATTTTTCAAAATTATTGTGTGAATCAAAAAAGCCACTGTCTAGCAGAGAGTCAGAGTTCACTAAATGTTGATCGAATCATTAACGAAGTAGGTAAAAGCAGATGATAATACTTGACACATGACTAGAGTCTAAATGTTTTTTAATCGGGATCTGTTGAATTTATAAGGTTTAATATTAATATCATTAGCTATTATGGTTCTCCAATTTTGTGTTTTCCAGGACATCAAGATGGCAACATACACACGTGGTCAGCTCAGCCCCTCTCTAGGAGATAAAGAACTCGGACCGATGGTCATTGAAATCATAGAAAAAAAAATTGAGTATCTTAGAAAAGAAAAGTAAGAGACACACGCAGACTGAAAATCAATTACTTTTTTCTGCAGATCTGTATTTCTGTTGTTTCTGAATATCTAAGATTCTCTTTATTGAGTTGGTTATAAAGAAAGCTTATTTTTTTTAAAAAATGGAGAAAAACATGGGTAGATGAAAATAGTGGTCTGTTAGAATACTGGAACTGTGGATAATTACTTTTGCTTCTTAAAAAATGGCCAGAATTGTTATTGAAATGTTATTTGTGCAATAAACATTTAAAAATTAAAAGTAAAACCAGTTTGGCTTAGTGGATAAAGAGTTGGCATGCGGACTCAAGGGTCCCAGGTTCGATTCTAGTCCAAAGGCATGTACTTGGTTGCGGGCACATCCCTAG